TTACGTAAGATTCATTTCTTTGTATAGTACAGAGAGAGCTTAATTTAATATACTGTTCTTGAATTTGAAATAGAAAAATTCACACTATTAAAGTTTCTTTTTTGTTTTTCTAAGAATGAAAATAACCACTATAGGACGAAACGGCCGTCCAGTGCTTCCAGGTTTTCCATGGTGGTCTAACTTCAATTGACTCATCAATAGTTTTAAGTCAGTATGTGGCCATCATCTTTTCACATAGTTAAGTGAATTCAGGCCGTAATCTGTATATCCACATGTATATAGAATAGAGAAGAGTTGTAACTCAGGACAAGAGTTTTAACAGTATCTCATCCTCTAAACTGGACCTTTCAACTGAGAAGAGCTAATTGTCTTTTTGAATAATATTAGTAGCGGTTACATCAAATGGAAGTGAACTTTGTGATTGTTCTATGATCTTTAAATTGTGTAGTTATGATAACCTTACTTATGCTGGTTGCCTTTGTAGGTTATATTATCTTAATTCATGCAAGCTTTGTTAGTTTGACCTCACACCATATAATTGATTGGCCTTTTCCTTATGGAGTGATAATTCAAATCTATATCAGTGTTCTTATAGATTATGCAGTAACCTGAATATTATGCTACTAGAAACCTACTGCAATGCTTGAAACTTTCTCTATCCATAATTTGACATTTTAAAATTTCTTTTCTTCATCGTCAGTGTTTTGAAATAAATGATAACATTTAGTGTCTTATCACTGATAGTTTTCATTAATACACATGTTAGTAAGGAAGAAGTCCAAAGTTCTGAACATACTGTTGATGCCAAATATTTTGTAGGTAATGCTACATTTACTTTCGATTCTTATTGTGGTTTTTGGTTGACATAGATTGGGATGATGTGAATATGCTGGCTCACAAACGATATTGGCCTAAAATGATTTCGTAAATCTTGTGGTAATTTTCGTATATGTCAGGCCAACCTGGTTTCTGGTTTCCGAGAGTCCTGAAGTGTTGATTTCTTATATCATTTTTGATGAAGTTATGCTTATAGCCAGTTTTATGGAAAACGTATGTGAAATGAGTTTTATCTGAAATTTGCACACTCAGAGTTAGTCAGTATGTTTTGGTCCTTATAAATATTATTTATATGCAACATTATAAGTGTTTTGTTGGGTTGCTGTTGTTGTGACTTAATGTCTGATCTATATGGTTTAATTTTATGTAAACTCAATCACTTAATATTGTTTGTTTGGATCTTCCCATTGATGCTTAGGACTGCAACTGGTCGTTCTGAAGGACGATGAAAGCTCCACAACCAAACCATCCAGCTTAGTGAACAAACAACTTTTAGAATTCATTTTCAACCAAGTTTTCAGTTGTCATAATACTAGAATGCTTTTGGGAAATTTTGGGATGACTAGTAATATTTATATATAGTATTCGTCACTAATTGACGTCACTTAGGATATAATTAAAAGTTAGGCAGGTACCGAGTGTTCACCAAAAGACATGAACGTTTTGATTTAAACCCATGGATCGGTCCTGAGCGACAACTGCTAAATGCTCGCATAGTTAATAGATTTGTTACTTTTATATCTTTTATTTTTTCGTGTTAATATGTTAATAAAATGTCAGCTTAATATAATAAACCGAAGTTATTACTTAGGGAGAGTTGAATTTGGTAGGTTTTCTTGACTATTGAAGAATTTTTAGAATGAATATAAAAAAGTCAGAGTGTTGTGTGATGTCCCATTTTAGCTCTTTATTGAAGATTTCAATTTCTTGAAAAGTCTTTTAAAATTTTTCTTAGATCAAATGTTCAATTATGTCTTTCTTTAACAACAGTTGTTCTTTTCGGAGTGACAATACACAAGATAAGGAATAAGAAATCATATTTTATGTGTTTTTTATTTAATAGATTTAACGAACTTCGGGATCATATGAATTCAAAAATACCGGTACTGGTCGTATACGATCGGTGTGATATTAATCTTTCATTATTGAAGATTGAATAAATGTAAATGTTGCCCAAGTCTAAAAAGTAAAGTTCTTAGTTTAAATTTCACTGATTACTGTCGTTATAAATTATAATGGAACGTTTATGTTACTGAGTTAGAACTTCAATATACTTATGATTATCCACTGATGTACAATAGCTCACATGCTGATGTCATAATATGTAAATTAAAGATTAGATGTTCACTGAAAATTCCAAAATGTTACCTATCTCTTTAATTTGAAATACGAACGAATACAGTTCATTGTAGAAATATCTTAAAAATGTGCGATTATTCAACTGACTACAATATATACATATATGTGGAAATAAGCATACGTTTCTAATTTTGAAATCACTACACAAATATTTCTAGAGGGAAGCACGGGATACAGTGGATAGGACATCTGGAACTCAAAACAATTGTCAACCAACACCAAGATCACAATTTTCAATACGAATATCAAGACAGTTCTATTGTATGGGGCGGAGACATGGAGAACCGCGAAAGCCATCCTCCAGAAGATACAAGTGTTTATTAACAGTTGTCTACACAAGATACTTCGGATCCGTTGGCCAGACACTATCAGCAACAAGTTACTGTGGGAGACAACAAACCAGATTCCAGTGGAGCAATAAACCAGGCAGAAGTGCTGGAAGTGGGTAGGACACACATTGAGGAAGTGACTCAACTGCGTCACATGACAAGCCCCCACATGGAATTCTCAGTGTCAAAGGAGTAGAGGAAGACAAAAGAAATGGAGACAGACATGAGAATAATGAACAAAAATTGGATAGAACTAGAAAGGAAGGCCCAGGACCGAGTGGATTGGAGAATGCTTGTCGATGGCCTTTGCTCCATTAGGAGTAACAGGCATAAGTAAATAAGTAAAGTAAGTACACAAATATTAAAATAAAATAACTGGATATTTTCTGGAAATGATTAATGAGCTTACTTCCAAAACAAAATTTTTAAAAAATTTTCTTTCTTTTTTTTTCTTTTAGGTAATTTTTAAAAAAAATTACACTTGACATTATATTATTTATATTACTAATGGTACTCATTTATTGTTTTACGAAATTTAAATTGCCTCCAAAATATTATGGCGGACATTTTGAAACTAGTGACTAAACAATTGGAAACAGAATATTTTTTTTGTTTTTTTTTTGTTTTAATACATTTGACATTTGATCATATTACCAGTAAACATTAAGTAGGTAAAAGAAGTTTATTAATATCAAAGAAACTTTCAGTAATTCATTAATTAAAAAACTTTTTTTAATTTTTTTAATTTTTTTTTAAATTTTTTTTATTCAATATGACAGTTAGATTTTTTTGTTTTTTTTAGTTTCCCTTTAAAAATATAAAAAAAATGAATCCCTGTATGATGAATGAACTTATCCTGATTATCATTTAGGATAAATATTAATCTCATTGTATCCATATCATTTGACAGTCATAATTAGCAATTAATTAGATTTATTATTTATTTTTTTTATATACAAAGCGGAATTACGAATGAATAAATATGATGTATGAGGCTTTGATTGGGGGAATTACGGTAACCAGTACTTATGTATATATATGTAACTTAGTAAATGAGAACTAGTCTAATTAATTTGTCTATCTTATCTGCCGTGGTTGGGGGGAACTGTTAAATGAAGCGTATTTAAATTTATCTCAAATAGATTTATTTAATATTATATTATTGTTTTATTAAATAGAAACAGATATGAAAAGAACGAATGTTAACTGGAAAAAACTGGAAAGGACAGGGTTGGATGGAGAATGATGGTGTGCAGCCTAAGCTCCTCCTGCATGCGAGGTAACAGGCGTAAGTAAGTAGGTAAATAAGTATTGTTTTATTCAAATTTGAGAGAGATAAAAGTTTTTTAAGAGTTGTGTATAGACATTTATCTTGTATTCAGTTTACAATTGATTTGTATGTATCTGGTATCTGGTATTTGTCTGGTTTTTGATCAACTCAAATGTAAATACTTATTAAATATTTGTAGATAATATTTAGTTGAACGGTCTATGGTAAATAATACAGTTTGAAAATACTTTTATTCAGATACTGTTGTTTTATGAAAAGTGAGTAGGAATTGAGGACCAACAGATATTATTTCACATTGTTACGATTAAGAGATTTTGGAATTTTCAAAGTTGAAACCAAGAGTCAATTTGAGCTAGACCACCATGGAAAGCCTAGAAGCACTGGACGGCCATTTTGTCTTATTATGAGACTCCTCAACAGTGCGCGTCCACGATCCTGCACTCGCGAGATTTGAACCCAGGACCTACCAGTCTCGCGCCAGAGCACTTAAGCGATAGACCACTGAGTCAGCATCCAATGGTGCTAATGTCTAACTTCAAACAATACATTTGACTTTTATAGTTTACATTAAAAATTGATATTAGTTAGATAATTATTGAAAACTAAGAGGTAATTGACAGCCTTTTTAGTTCTAGTCCAGAACTTTTAGTTAACATGCATCCACGACCTTACCGAGTTACGAATACAGGAGCTTCAAGTCTCGCGGTGAGCGTTTAATCATCAGATAGTGAAGTTAACATCCAGTGGTCATCATTTTTAACTTTATATAAACTTGAGACTTTTCAACAGTGAACTTTTGTGACTCATTGTGTGATGTAATGAGGTAATCATCAGGAGTTATCATTGGTGATTGTCTTAATCTTGATGTGATTGAAACTCAATTTTCATTATAATGTTTAAGTCATTCATTTGAAAACATGTGATTCTTTTATTTAATAGATTGTAGTAATTAAAACAAAGTAGTTGGATACATCGTATTCGCTAAAAGCTCAGTAGAGTTCTTTTTAGCAATGTTAACAATGAAAGGAATGAGGGTCTTATCTATAGTTACACTTTTCAATTTAGTAATATTACTGCACCTCAGTCAACAAACTTTTGCTTACCTAACGAAGAATTTGCTAGAAAGGACTTTATTAGTTTATATATATATATATATGTATATATAATCATATGGTTGAACTTACTTTGTTTCTTTTGGCACGTAAACAGTATTATTCCCAATTGATGGAAAGATAAATTGTGGTGTATTATCATTTACATCTAATATATGTATTAAAACAACTGTTGTAGATGACAATTTCGGTGTACCTTGATCTTCAACACGAACTGTCAATTCATATAATGGATATAATTCACGATCTAATTTTGATCTACCTAAATAGATTTGTCCATCTTTGGCAATAAAAAATCTATATAAAAAACAATGAACAAAAATAAAGCGATACCATAAACCACATAAATAAATAAAGATTCTTCAAACACTCAGTAATCAGTATTCCGAGTGAAGTAACTTCCTTACTTACTTACGACTGTTACCCCTCGTGGAGGACCATAGGCCGCCCACAAGCATTCTCCATCCAGGTTTTCCATGGTGGTCTAACTTCAGTTGACTAATGATTTCAACTATGAAAATCCTGAAATCTCCACACAACCCCTTCTGATTATATCATGCTACTAATTCCCTTTTCTCGATGTACGTCTGATGAGAAGTAATGCTTTTTTTTTAAAAAAAATCCATCTTTAGAAAACAAACGTGAAATGGCCAACTAACCAACTTCTATAGCTGGTTTCCGTTAAGTAGAAACAGAAATTTCATTCATTCTTTATTTTATCGTATACATCGGATATGCAATACGGAATGTATTAACGAAGAACTCGCATTCCTCAAAAAAACCTTGATGAAAAATGCCTACACAGATCGTTTCATATAGAAGAATATGAACAGATGTAGTTTCGACAGAAAACCTAGTTGTTCCGTCCTAAAGAAAAACCTTTCTTTATGTCTGGAATTTACGGTGATCGAACATCAGACGTAATAAAAAATCGTCTAACAACCACGATTCAAAGGACATTCAATGCGGCTAAACTGCGAATAACCTTCACTAGTAGGAACTCATTTTCTATATCCATAAAAGCTTGCGTGTCTGGTCCCCTCCATGTACATCTACCAGTTCACCTGCTCTTGTGGAGCAAAGTACATTGGCCGTAGCCAGAGCTCGCTTTCAACTCGGATACGAAAACATATCCCAGTTTGGTTCTACAAGGGTGAAAAGAAAGCAGTTAGGAGTTCTATACTTGAACATCGAATCGACTGTAATCATTCTACGGATCCACAGTTTGATTTTAAGGTTGTTTACATAATTCGTTCAAATATACCTAGATTTATTTGTATTCAACTCTTAAAAATATCCGAAGCTCTCACCATCAATGAGCTGAAACCAGAACTATGCGTACAAAAGAAGTACGTTTTATCGTGATCGTTACCGTGGTCTTAATTAATATTATTATTATTCTATTATTATTACTGCATTCCCCCCTTTACTTATTTATGTCTTATATTCTCATTATTTTATTCATAAATATTCATCATATCAACTTATTTTTTTTTACACCTCTATGATCTTTAATGACCTTGAATTACTATAACGAAAACATTTATTTCTATTTTAATCATCTTGTTATATTATTATTACTCGTATTACGTAATCTAGTATTATCATCTATCTATTACATCGTCTTGGTAATTCGTGTTTACCTTTCCTGATGGAATTAGTACTTTAAGAAAAAGAAAAAAAATATTCAATATACAATCGTACAGCTTGATAATGAATTCACTGAAAAGAGATCTCTTCAGTGAACTAAGTGTTTTTAAATTTTAATATTTAAGTAATAATTATCAATCTATCTCCCTCCCTTCCTCCCTAACTCCTTACCTCTCTCTCCATAATGATATCAGTACAATACGTGACACTATCAATGATATTAATTATGATACTGATGCATTTTATCATAAGGATTCAACAGTTAACCGAAATTACAAACTGTCAATCAATACCTAAGTACTAAATGAAGAATAAATACGATATTGTTTATTTACTTCTCATTTATCCATATTAATTTATATTTAGAATTATTAATTTAATAAAATAAATCCAACGTTTCTTCTTTTTTTTTATTTTTCGAAAAAAACAAACAAACAAATAAACTTTACGTGTTATTTTTTATCTAAAATATGAATCTCTGTTTTTTTTTCTTTTTTCTTTTTTTCTCTTTTTTCCCTTTTTTCTTTTTTTTTTAAAATTTACTAAGTTATTCGAAAATAATAAAAAAAAATAATAATAAAGGTCAATAAATTTATTCTTTATTAAACTGTCTATCTTCTATATATTTTGATGAAGATTTTATCATTTTTCCCAAAAAAATTAAATAATGCAATTTAATTATTTAAATTCATTTAATATTGTTTGTTTGAATCTTCCCATTGATGTTTTTAGGACTGTAACTGGTCAGTCTCTAATTGACATATGTGCATACTGTGCTTATTGCCTTTATATAGCCTTAATTCACAAGCATGGTAAGCAGAGATGGATAGTGACTAGCAGTTTGCGCGCGTTTCGTCCTATTTGGGACTCGTCAGCTAGATGTACCTGCATCTCAGAGTTGATGTTGACTCAGGGACTCGAACCCAATAACTTTCGCTTCAAACGTCATCGTGTTATTTATTTGAATAAGCATCATTCATCGATTAAGAAATAATTAGGTAAATAAATAATAAAGTTCAGAAGATAATTTAGATAAGTTTGATTATCGTGTTGTATTAACTATCTAGTGAATTATGTTTAGGTTATTTCCATGATACTTAGAATATACAGTAAAAAAATTAATTGGATGCCGGCTCAGTGGTCTAGTGGTTAAGTGCTGATACGCTGTACTCATAGGTCCTGGGTTCGAATCTCGAGAGGTGGGATAGTGGAGCGCATTGCTGAAGAGTCCCACCAAAGGATGAAACGTCCATCCAGTGCTTCCAGGTCTTCTATGGTGGTCTAGCTTCAATTGATTCATGATTTCAACTGTATATAATTACTAAAATCTCCACAAAACCCCCTTCTGATAATTAATGGTATAGTACAAAAACTTGATATTAGTTCATATTTTCACTGACTATTGTATAAAGTCGTTCAGGTTAAGGTTAACTTGATAAAGATAACCTATAGTTTAAAATCGCTTACAGTGATGTGAATATGTTTACTATATACCCCATTACTAGATTCTGGATTCGATTATTCTTAAACTTGATTGCTCTCACTCTGATAATATGAACCTGAATGTCATTGGACTTAAGTGTATTTGTTACAATTCTTACGTTATTCAGGACTGATTAAGAAATATTAAAGATTCCCATTGTGAAAATTAGAACAATAAATGTAAGCGAACAATCGTTTTCAATTAGATCGTCATCAGGCTTTACTCTTTATATGCATGAATATTTATACGAAAATGTTAGACCAATCAAGGGTTATTGACTAACAAATGCATAAATGTGTTGATATTAAATTAAATAGTTGGTGTACAATAAATTTACAAAAAAATATTTTCCACTCAGTGGCCGAGTGGATTACGCGATGGCGTTTGAAGCGAAAGGTAATGGGTTCGAATCCCAAAGTCAACATCAACACATGCAGGTACATCTAGCTGACGAGTCCCAAATAGGACGAAACATAAGTAAACTGGATTTCACTGCTAACTACTATCCATCTTTGCTTACCATGTTTGTGAATTAAGGCTATATCAAGGCAATAAGCACAGTATGCACATATGTCAATTAGAGACTGACCAGTTACAGTTCTAAAAACATCAATGGGAAGATCCAAAAAGCAATACTAAGTAAGTATGGATAATTGTTAATCAATATTGATATTTACTTCTTAACACCTACAATGAAAATCTACAGAACTTTCTAAGGTAGTTTCTAATCCCATTTCCAAAGTCATTTTGTTATAACAAAAGAGAAATGTATTTTAGTGTCCATTTTGTATCAATCACTTAATGTAATACACAATATTCCACATATACTAAAAGGTACATAAAAGTTTTTTTGTTACTATGTACATCAATAAATGGATATTCAGTAATAAAAACCCAACATATTCCGGGTAAAAGCTTATTGCTGTTCATTAAAATACAAAAATAAACGTAATTTAAAATACAATTGATTTTTAGATAGAAGCTAGTGGGTCAAGTCACAATTATTCTACTATTCTTACCGGTCATTTTATGTTCAGTATGTAAATTTGTACTTTTTTTTCATATTCATACAATTAATCATGTTATGCGCTAGGTCGAGGCTCATTTCATCTTACTAGAAGATGTAATATATTTCCGATTAAATATTAACCATAATATAAATATTTCAGAATAGTTCTACGCTAGTACAATATAGATCTATGACAATTAAAAATTAATAGTTGAATTCATGATGAACGATGATACAATTTCATGGATTCGTTGAAGTTATACATTAACACCGACGGATGCCAGCCGGCTCAGTGGTCTAGAGGTTAAGCGTTCGTGCGCAAGACCAATAGGTCCTGGATTCGAATCACGCGAGGCAGGATCGCGTATGCTCATTGCTGAGGAGTCCCAAACTAGGACGAAACTGCTGTCCAGTGCTTTCAGGTTTTCCATGGCTGTCTAATTGCAATGCACTCATGAATTCAACTATTAAATTACTATAATATCCACAAAACCTATCTCTGATTTTAATTAAAAATTAAATAAATATATAATAATATTGTAGTGTGGTCTACTTATATCCATATAAGTAGTATATAGCGATGGAAAGAACTGAAATGAAGCGCAAATGGTGGGAAAATACATGAACAATGAAATTCGAGAAGATGAACTAATATTTATAGAAGGAACAGTGAAGATTGAGACAATTGGTTGTTATTTTGCAAATTAACTGTTTGCTGTATGGTTATCAGAATTTAGTGAGATAGTCTGTAATTTGTGCCTAAACACATTCGATTGTCCCTAACCAGTGTTTTGTTCACTACAATATGATGATGATAAATTAAGTAACAGTACTATATTGAGCATTCAATATACAAGATATCATATTAAAATAATTATAAAAATTCATTCTCATTATTTAGATTACTATCTATCCTAGTTACACAATATGGCAAATAAGTATAATCAAATGTTTTATACATCAAATGATAAACGCAACAATGATTCTATGATGAATTGATTTATCACTACCTTTTATAAGTAAGCTCTATTTAAATCAATGATTTAAACCACCAACACAACCACCACCACCACAACAACAACGAAAAAACAACTTGAGCATAGGGTTATTTTCAATGTTCCAATAGTTTAGATACTGTACTATATATTTATTGATTATTATAATTGTTTCACATGAATGAATCTACTAATTGGTTCATTAGATATTCATATAAAAATTTTATTGTTATGATTAATAGTAAATTGCATTTTATATTATTTATTTAGTTACTAAGTATAATGTCATAAATGAGTTATTATATAACTTTAATTGAAATAACTCAATATCTTTGATGTAAACATGTATATAATCACCTGTGCTCGGTAGATGTACGTCCTAAAAGTAAGATAAAAATCTATATTACTAAACCTCGACTTTTGATAGAGGTCATAGAGGTCATTACTACAATGACAAATAAATCACATGCTATCGCGGATAAAACGGATGAATGCAAATATTAACGAGTCATAATGATTAGTCGGGTTTAAATAAAGAATGGGTTTTCTTCCATGTGTTGTGCTTCATGAAATTAATTGTTTAATGGAGAAGTATGGGTTTTAGATCAGTCGTCAGTTACTGAGAATATCGACATAGAATCTATCTACCAATATATATATAAATATATTTATATATATATAAGATCAATCAATCACGTGGTTAGATGTATTTTTGTCAGATTTATTAAGATATTCTCTAATTTTGTGCTTAAATACATTCGATTGTCTGACTTGTTGTCCAGCTTATGTTCAATGAGTTTTGCGGATTCTGGTTTCTACCAAGTTTTATCTCCTCGTTTCCGTTTCTATTTGACTGATCTTCCCGGTCTCCCACATTGTTCGGACATTCTATATACCTACATTAGTTGTTGCTCTGGTTTTTCGAAGAGGCATCAGTTTCGTGACTTCTAAGGAATATCAGCTTTCATCATGAGGCGTCATAATTCCTCTTTCAACTCTCAGGGCAAAGTATAAATGGTTTAAACTTTTTGTTCTGGTTAGCGGTTTTTTAGCAAGATTTTTTTCTACGGGATGGGATTGCCGACTCCATGCCTAACCGTCCTCCGTTGTGTGGGCTTTGGATCGGCAGTAACTCTAGAAGAACTACAGTTTAGTGGTTGTCTGGGGCGAATGCTTAGGTTTATTGGAGCTTTAGTCAAACCTACAAACTTATCTGATTTTAATGGCTCAAGTTGTAAGTACGTTCGTTTATGTAATTGTAATAATCCGTTTAAAATAAAAAGGAATTTGTAAGACACATTTCTAACCACTAAACCGAAAGTAAAATTCGTTGGTATTTTCATCCTGTTAAGACAAATATCTCTCTGAATTAAAAAAAAGATTGTCGTCTTACACTTACGTAACGAGAAAATATTCAGAAACAAAAAATTAAAATTTTCACTGTGACCTGATGTTCGATTATCTGATGCCAGTTTTCTGCTAACAAGTATTCAAATCTATAGAATAAGTATTAGACTGGTGGTATATTGACCTAACTGCGTTTATGTTGGTGAGTTTATCAAAATTAGGGATAAATTTGCGCCTCCTTAATAGTACTAGCAGATGTTGTAAGTAATTTGAAATATTCACAAGAATATGAATTGGAAATTCTGGATGGTGGACGTTGTTTTTTGAAAATAGCTCGATATGGAAAATCATCTCCAAATGAACATTATCTTCAAAATCTTATAATAATAATAGTACTTATGGGTAGCTCTGAGATTGAACCTTTGGAAGCTTAAGTAGAAAAAGAATAATTGGTTTTGTTTAGTCATCTAAGTGATGTGAAGTGATGAAAGGGTAAAATTACATTTGTTAACTCATTTTGAACTATGTTTAACATGATATGCAGTATGTGATTTGTTATAGTTCTAAGCATTTTTCTTATATGCGACTTTTTCGTAACTCATTATCAAAGGTGCATACAAACCAATACATAAATGAGTGTATTTTCGACGAGAGTTGTCATCCTGTTTCGGATTGAATAAGTCACCATTTGTACTAGTCTTACATGTTCTTACTTCGTGTTGTGGAAATTGCAGGGTTTCCTCATTTTTAAGTATAAGCAATAAGCGATGGAAATAAAATAAAATACTCCTTTTCTTTGTTTTCAAAACAAACTTGTACTCTTGATTGGTGTGATTCATATTGTTTTTATAATTGCTTTCGTTATCTTTATCTTCTCATTTTATCCTGTAAATTTATGAAAAGAACCGTTTAGATTCTTGTGAAGTTCGATGTGTTTGCGTCTGCATAGACGTGTCTTAAACTCTTCTTACTTATGATAATCTTAACCTTGATTATTTTTAAAAAAGATGCTCGGATCAGTTTCTTGGGCGGAACTTCGGAATTATTGAGATTTTAATCCCTGAGTTATTCTCTGATAAATTTGTTAAGTTCTGAAATAATTCGAGTCTGATACTGACATATACGTTTCTCTTGTATGTTAACCCGATCAGCTACTTGAGTAAGAAAACTGAATATGAGTAAGGATCTTTCATAGGTTAACCAAATTAAAAATTTATGCATAAATTATTTGTAAATATATACGTTTTTTACGAAAAAACACAAAGCTAACTGGTAATCAACAACTTGTTTCCGTCACTATCTCTCACCTTATTATTTAATCTACTTGATCGGATCAGCGTATCTATATCTTATGCATCAGCCATTGTTGGAAATTTATTTTAGTCAAACTTCAATTGATATTGTTATATCAAGTGGAGAATTATGAATGGTAACTTTGAAGTAGCAGTCACACATCAGCATAAATTTGGGAAATTTAAAATCCTGATATCAACTCCGAATCTCTCAAAAAAGGGGAGGTGTTATGTCCCATGGAGAATTATGAATGGTAACTTTGAGAACTATTTATGGGCCAATGTGATATGTATATTTCCTATAGTATAATTATAGAAGGGGTTTTGTGGAGATTTAGTATTTATCATTGTTGAAAGCGTGAGTCAATTGAAGCTAGATCACCATGGAAAACCTGGAAACACTGGACGGCCGTTTCGTCCTATTATGGGACTCCTCAGCAGTGCGCATCCACGAACCTGCTCTCGCGAGCGAGATTCGAACCCAGGACCTACCAGTCTCGAGCCGAAGCCCTTAACCGATAGACCACTGAGCTGGCATCCGACGGTGTTAATGTCTAACTTCAACTGATCCACGAAGTTGAGCAACCATTCACCAATTGTCTTCAGTGAGTTCCTATCTCACAACAGACGTGGTTTTGAACTCCACTGGTCACTGCTTCTCACTAGAGCTCCTAGATATACTTCTCGAAATCACTAAATCACTAAATACTAAATCTCCACAAAACCCCTTCTATAATTAATATAATAATATGCTCACTAGTGATTTCGAGAAGTATATATAGTATAATTGTTAAGTAACTAAACTATTCATATTCATGTCCCTCTTATCATAAGCTTTATTTTGACCAGTGAACTATTATTATACGATTTACCATTCTTGAGTTATCCCCAGTCTATTGATTACTGTTCCCCCTATTCACAGCCTCATTTGGCGAAATCTTGTACAAATATTATTTCCTATTTTATAGTACGATGTGGTCTGTTTGTTTTGTATATAAACCCAGTATGTTTGAGAATAATGATTCATATTGCAGAGGCTGTTATTGGTGTTCTGGACTTAACTGGTTGGGCTAGGCAGAAAGTAGGACTGATAAGTACTCAAGACTACTCATACGGCTTTTGTATATCATTGTTCCAATCGATAAATCACTCCTCTCTGATTGGCGGGAATGCGCACGTTCATATAGTAAGCTGGGCACGCACCCAATCGATACAACAACTGGCAACGGGAATGGGCTTTTGTGTATCATTAGGCAATCAATAAATTCACTGCTCTCTTATTGGGGGTATTATCACTTCATATACTAAACAGGGCACATACTCAATTGATACAACAGATACTCATGTAAAAGGTAATAATTATCGAAATATTTAATTTATTCATTCATTAACTTACGTATACATAATTTCAAGGGATTGTGAGAAATTTTTTTTACTACTCAAATAATTTTCATAAGATTCATGAACTATACTATCTGAATTATTGAAGCTTTTTAATCCATATGCAATACATTGAATGAGTGTAAAAGTGATTTCAGCATTTCGACCAATATCTGCATCATGTGCAGTAATTTTACCAATAGCCAATGCTAAAGAAAATAGATAAGTAATAAGGAAACACAAATGAAAAGTTAATAGAACACACTTAATATATACTAGCATGATACTTGCATATTGACATCATAAAATACATATAGACAATATGGGATGTTGCTAGCTGTGGACTCCAGAGTGCACACTTCGTCCCATTTTTGGGCTCATCAGCTAGATGTACTTGCAATTCAGTATTAATATTCACTTTTGAGATCCAAGCCCAGTTACTTTAGCTCTAAAACATTACAAAAATCAGTTAAAATGTATAACCCTTGAATAATTGAGTTGCTAACTGGACTCAGTAGATAAGTTGATTGAGTGTTGATATTTGAAGAGAAAGACACTGAATTAGAATCTTTGACTAAATATGAACACTAGGATCCAAGAACATTTTTAACCTGGCCATTATTTGGGATTATTAATTTGGATATATAATCGTAGAACCTGAAGAGAATTAATCGAAAATAATATTCTTCGTTCAAATATTAGTATTTTCTTTAAGCTGAATGGTCATTTTTCGAAGGTTTCAATATTTTCCAGAAAAACAATGAGAAGCTCATTGGGTTCAGATAAAGTAGTATTGCCTAACGTTTTTAATAATGATTTCTTGATTTGTATTCTTTTCACTATTATTATTATTATTATTATTATTATTATTATTATTATTATTGATACCTACATGCATATGTGTTTGCACAGATAATAGAATCACCAAAAGACGTCCCTTGATTGAATAACTCTCTATCGCGTATATTTAACATGAGACATATTTGTTTATTTATATGAACACAAACATTGGGACAAGGGGGAACCAAATAAATATGCGCCATACAATAACAATGAGGCCAGTAGCAGTTATCATTGATTTGTGTGAATGCTATGATTCTCCCTGTGTACCCAAACCAAAGCAGGTAGTTTTCTTAGGTTGCCACGTCCAAAGCCTGACCTGAAAGTCCGATTAACAAGTCAGTGGAGCAACGTAAGGAGATTTAGTCCCATGGTAATCGGTGACCAACAATAAGTTCATACACCGTTTGTTTACTTAGGATCTTGGAGCTCATGTGCACCACTGGTTTGAAATTAAGGATTTCCAACTCCCCTAAGTGGATCCTCCATGTTCACCAACCCGGTTAAATAGCCGGACATTGAAGTGAGCACGATCAGGCAGTTGTTTAGTATATAATAGAAAACAGAACTCTCCACTTAACCAATCTTTCTTATTTTACATTGTTCTTGATTGTCATTAATTTATGTCTACCAATTCCACTACATAATCAACTAATTTTAAACACTCTGACCTGTTGATACTAGTTCAGATAGTACACTTTGATGAAGCATGTTTAGTCTAATGTGAAACAAGAGAAATGAAACGAACACTTCTTATTTTGTTATATAGTTGACATAATTAGTCGATTGAAGCTTGACAACCGTGGAAAACCTGGAAGCACTGGACGGCCGTTTCGTTCTGTTGTGGGACACCTCAGCAGTGCACATCCACGATCCCGCCTCGCAAGATTCATTTCATGTTAATAAAAGGGAACCATATTTATAAAAAAAACAATATTGCTTATTCGAAATTTTGCAGATATTCTATTATCGTATACAATAGAAACGTAATGAAAACAACTTACAAGCTGTATGATTTTCTAATACATAAAACTCTATTTTATTCAATATACTTGGTGGATTATCATTAACATCTTGTATAGTGATTGTTACATCAGCACTAGAATTTAAACTTGGTATTCCATTATCTGCAACATGAATTCGAAAGCGTAATTCATTGATCATTTCTCTATCTAATAATTTTTGTACTGTTATATAACCAGTAACTTTATTGATATCGAAATAATTTGCATTTTGTCCACTTAACCAAAATGTTAATTTAGCATTTTCACCTATCATTATCAAAGTGAAATAACAAAAAGTAATATTGTAGATATACTACTCATTAATGCCATTAATTTAGATTGTAATTAGATAATAGATTACTGTTATGTAATTACATTTAAATGATGTAATCTATTTCTGGCTATTTGATGGAACACCGTTACTTGTTTAAAAATAAGAGATTTTGACAATTGTGTGTTCAGTCATAAATGAGAAATAGTCATTGATGATAATTTTATGACTAATTAGTATGTCTTTCTTCATTTTAGAACCTAAAATGAGTCTTCAATCAAAAACTAAAATCGATATATTGTAAGAAAATTTATTCATAAAGAATTTTGCCAATTTCAATATTGCATAGATACAGTACTAATTTGTCTCAGGAAGTATGGGAATTGATTTCGTTAACACGGGGAAATGTTCATTATGATGTCAATAATAACGAGACAAACAGAAACTGAATAGCACTATAGATTAGAAAGAATGACTCAGATTACTACTAAGTCATCAGCCAATCCTTTAAAATCAGAATAGCTGTATTTAAAAGTCTCTGAATGTAACATCTGGAAAGTGTAATATTAGAATCGAGTCCCAATGAAAACATCAGTTTCCTGAATATTGTAAACTGATTACTCTAAGCTTTTTAATCGTATCAAGCGGTTTTCTGTCATATATCCTGCCAATTCTCTATTTGATTAAAGAAGGAACAAACACCGTGGCAAAATAAAACGAATTAATTTATTTTGTGGATTCTTCTCAACTTCATACAACCTAAAACGATAGTGTTATTCATGAAAACGGAAGTGCGTCTGGAATGAATTGAGTTAAAATGTGATAATAGAGCAACATTAAGAGACCATAATGTGGAAAAAATTAAAATTGTTCAAATGTTTACGTATTTATGGGTTAAATATATGAACGTTTTAGAAGGGTAAGGAAACAGAAAAGTATATTTTCTAGAAATAGAAGATAGATTATGTAATAAGACTAGTTGAGTAAAGCTCAGATGTTGGAAAGAATATACTAGGATTTTGATTAAAGTATATGAAGAAATAAAAACAAACTCTTTCGCAATAATCTCACAAAAATAAGGTTATTGGGGCAAAATAGGACTTAAAACTGTTTTATTTTGGATACTAAGATTCGGTTTGAATTTCTTTATTTCAACAGCTTCGGCAAAGCGAATAACAAGCAATACCATTACTAAAGACCTTTTGTCCGTTTAGCCATAACTATGTGGAATATTTTCGTAGATGCGTTAACAAACCCTCCTTTCTGTTCTTCTGATGTATGTGTATTGGTAAAACGCGATCGGAGTTAACAGAAGGCAGATATTTGTCCATAATATTTTAATCAGTATTCAGTTTTATATAGAAACACTAATTCGGTTGCTGAATACGTTCCTTTTAGTATTGTTTTTGGTCTAAAATCAATTACTCTAGCTATTTCATTACTTTTGAAGCCACGTCTTAAGAAGATAGGCTTTTTCTCAACCGAAGGATTGCATTCACATGCACTCACTGTCCCTTAAAAAATCGAAATCGAAACTTTCAAATTTCACCTCCAGTGTTTAATATCCGTACTAGTGAATTAATGTCACAGAGTATATATTTCTAACTCAAAACAATCTCTCGATACAGGATTAAACATCTAACATCTTTACTTCAGATGATTTTACTCCGAATGTGTATGACACAATGGTACTTCGAATGACATCAATCCATTAAGTGTACCATCTACAAATTGAACATTTTTAATAAAAAATTAAGTCTTCAGTAATTATTGATTAGGTAACATAAATAGTAATCGCTATGTATCATAAACTGACTACATTGGCAAATCTTAAATGATGTATTCCTATCTGAAACTGCTCTCCTCCTTGTTCTGCATTCAATTCTATACGAGATCCTATTTATGCAATGATCAAAAATCTCAATCTAGGAAAAAACGACTGCCTACGTCCAGTCGGTTTTAAATGGTTTTCCAACCGATAACCTCCAGTTTTTGATCAACTTTATCTTGAACAGTAAACTTTCTATCAAAAGATAATAGGATGATAGATTGATTATTATTTGTTGTGTAAAAAATTGAATCGATACAATAAAGCTGAAATTTTGGTAGATAGTTCATTGTATTTTTGAAAAATCAATCACTCGTAACGAGGACACCAATAATTCACTTTATTCCACTACCTAAACTTTTGAACCTTAACATTTCCATTAGCTGTCAATTACAATATACGAATACATTACTGCAAACAAATCAATTTAATAATTACAATAATAAAGTATACATTAAACTTATATAACATTGAATCTGAAGTTCTATGATATAAGTACATTGGGGATAATAAATAGTATTCATAATGTTTAGTAACTTACCTTCATCAGGATCTGTTGCATTGATTTTGTTAATTATTGTTCCTATTTCAGTATTTTCATTAATATTAAAATAATAATGTAATTGACTAAATATTGGTAATTCATCATTTACATCAGATATTCTAACAACTACTGATCCTGTACTATTTCTTGGTGGTATACCATAATCTGAACATGTTATCCATACTGTAATTTTTGAAATGAATTCACGATCAAAACTTGAAGCAGTTGTTAGTTTATATCTACGAAATATATCAATATTCAGCTTGTTAATTTATAGTCACAGTATTATTTTTAATATATTTACTGTACTAGAACAAAATAGCAATGTAATACTGTGATGGTGTTTTATCAAGGACTAATTTTAGATATCCATTAAAAACCAAAAAAAAAGTACACTGTAGAGCTTCTTCGTCCCAGTGTGGTGTGGTCTACTTATATCCATTTAAGTAGTGTATGATGATGGTCAGATATAGAATGTATTTTGGCAGAAAACTGATAAGGAAAGAACTGAAATGAAGCGCGATTGGTAGGAAAATGCATAAACAATGAATTTAGAGAAGATGAACTAATATTTACAGAAGGAACAGTGAAGAATGAGACAATTGATTATTATATTGTAAATTAACTGTTTGCTGTATGGCTATCAGATTTTAGTGTGATAGTTTGTAATTTTTGCATAAATAGATTCAATAGCAACTCCGTCTGTAGCTCTTCTAGAGTTACTGCCGGTCCCAAGCCCGGGTAAAGGAGGAGGGTTGGGCATGGGGTTAGCGACCCCATCCCGTAGAAAGCTAACTCGCTAAAAAAACTCTAACCAGAAAAAATAATTCAAACCATTTAAACTCTGCCCTCCGAGTTCAAGGAATAATTATGATGCCTCAGGATGAAAGCCGAGATTCGCCAGAAGTCACGAAGCCGATGCATCTTCTAACAACCAGAGCAACACTTTTTACAGGTACATGGAACGTCCGGACAATGTGGGAGACAGGAAAAACCAGCCAAATAGAAATGGAAATGAGAAGATACAACTTGGCAGTACTCGGAATCAGCAAAACCCATTGGACACAATCTGGACAACAAAGGCTAGGTACAGGAGAGATGCTGCTGTATCCCGGTCATGAAGGGGAAAATGCTCCACACACTCAGGGAGTTGCTCTAATGCTGTCCAGAGAAGCACGAAATGCACTTGTGGGATGGGAATCTCATGGACCCAGGATAATCAAAGCATCATTCAGAACAAAGAAGCAAGGGATCACAATGAACGTTATCCAATGTTATGCACCCACCAATGATAGCAACGACGATGATAAAGATCAGTTCTATGAAAGGCTGCAATCAATTATAGAGAAGTGCTCAAGAAAGGACCTCACCATCCTGATGGGATATCTAAACGCTTAAGTTGGAGTGGACAACACAGGATATGAAGATATAATCGGACGACATGGACTAGGAGAGAGAAATGAAAATGGGGAGAAACTTGCAAACCTATGTGCATTCAACAAATTGTTTATAGGCGGCACAATATTCCCACACAAACGCATACACAAAGCTACATGGATCTCACCGGACCATACCACAGAGAACCAGATAGATCACTTCTGTATCAACAAAAAATTCCGAAGATCAATGGAAGATGTGAGAACCAGGAGAGGAGCTGACATTGCTTCAGATCACCACCTGGTTGTGGCCAAGATGAGACTGAAGCTAAAGAAAGACTGGACAACTGGACAAACAGCACTACAAAGGTTCAATACAGTCTTCCTTCGAGATATTGACAAGCTCCAAGAATTCAAGATAACTCTCAACAACAGGTTCCAAGCTCTACAGGATCTACTGAAAGAACAAGAAACTACTTTGGAGGACAACTGGAAAGGGATAAAAGAAGCACTAACTTCAACGTGTCAGGAGGTTCTTGGTCCTAAGAAGCATCATCACAAGGAATGTAGCAGAAGCCTCCGCATCGATAGGCCTCCACGTTCACAAAGGAAAAAGCAAGATTCTCAAATGCAACACGGAGAACACCAACCCAATCACACTTGATGGTGAAACCCTGTAAGAGGTGGAAACATTCAAGTACCTGGGGAGCATCGTTGATAAACAAGGAGGATCGGATGCAGATGTAAAGGTGAGGATTGGCAAAGCAAGGGCAGCATTTCTACAATTGAAGAACATATGGAACTCAAAACAACTCTCAACCAATTTCAAGGTCAGAATCTTTAATATGAACGTCAAGACAGTCCTACTGTATGGAGCTGAAACGTGGAGTACTACTATGACCATGATCAGGAAGGTACAATTATTTATAAACAGTTGTCTACGCAAAATACTCAACATTCATTGGACGGATACTATCAGCAACAGCATTTTATGGGAGAGGACAAATCAGCTTCCAGCTGAAGAGGAAATAAGGAAAAGACGTTGGAAGTGGATCGGACATATATTGAGGAAATCACCAATGTGCATCACGACTCAATCCCTAACTTGGAATCCGGAAGGGAAGCGGAAAAGAGGAAGGCCAAAGAACACACTACGCCGGGAAATAGAAGCCGATATGAAAAGGCTGAATAGTAACTGGAAAGAACTGGAAAGGAAGGCTCAGGACAGAGTTGGATGGAGAATGCTAGTGAGCGGCCTATGCTCCTCGACGAGGCGTAACAGACGTAAGTAAGTAAGTAAGATTCAATAGCGCAGGTTTGCTTACTCTGATCCTTTCTCTTTCTCCTGGTGATCGACTGGATCATGAATATGTCAACATCTGGAGGAAAGCATAGGATACAGTGGACAGGTAGGATACAGCTCGACAATTTAGACTTCGCAGATGACCTGGCTTTTCTATCACACACGCAACAACAATTAGAGGAGAAAACGACCAGTGTAGCAGCAGCCTCAGCAACAGTAGGTCTCAATATAAACAAAGAGAAAATCAAAACTCTCCGATACAATACAACATGCACCAATCAAATTACACTTGATGGAAATGCTTTGGAGGATGTGAAAACCTTTACATATCTGGAAAGCATCACCGATGAACACGGTGGATCAGATGCAGATGTGAGGGCAAGGATCGGCAAAGCAAGAGTAGCAAGTTTACAGCTGAAGAACATCTAGAACTCAAAACACTTGTCTGTTAACCAACACCAGGATCAGAATTTTCAATTGAAATGTCAAAACAGTTTTACTGTAAGGGGGGGAGATGTTGAGAACTACGAAAGCCATCATCCAGAAGATACAAGTGTTTATCAATAGTTGTGTACGCAAAATACTTCGGATCCGATGGCCAGACACTATCAGCAACAAGTTACTGTGGGAGACAACAAACCAAATTCCAGCAGAGGAAGAAATCAGGAAGAAGCGTTGGAAGTTGATAGGGCACACATTGAGGAAATCACCAACTGAGTAACAAGACAAGCCCTCACATGGAATCCTGGAGGCCAAACGAGGAGAGGAGAACCAAAAAACACATTACGCCAAGAAATGGAGACAGACATGAGAAGAATAAACAAAAGTTGGATAGAACTAGAAAGGAAGGTCAAGGACTAGGTGAGTGGGTTGAAGAAAGCTGGTCGGCGGCTCCATTGGGAGTAACAGGCGTAAGTAAAAAAAGTAAAGTAAATAGATTCGATTGTTCTGTTCATTATACCAGTACGAGACTCTTTAGCTGTGTCCATTTAGATTTATGTTACTTTTTTTATTAAAACATTTAATTAACCAACAATTACAAAAACTCGAAATTTTACAAACAAATATACTTACATAATTGAAAAAGGCATATGCATTTGTTGTAAACTGAATAAAATTTCAGTTGGATTCAATAATAGATTTTCTAATTTTTCTTTATTTTGTGTATCAAAAGTCCATTTTCTTGTTTCTGTTAAACGACAACTTACACGACCATTATCTCCACTATCCTTATCTTGTGCAGTAAATACAGCAACTAATCGACCAGGTTTTTCATTTTCTGGTACTAATGCATAATTTGTTAAATGAGCTGGTTCAAAATGTATTTCAGGTGAATGATCATTTTCATCTAATACTGTTATTTCTACAATACAAGTTGTACTTCTTGGTAGGCTACCTCCATCATTAGCTTCAACAGTTAATATTATCTGTAAGAAAATAAAATAAATTATTCATATTTCAGTTATCATTGTTCGTTCTATGTTTCATGTTCTGTATGTAAAATCAATAGTTTGCAGTTAAGATAAACTGAACCGTTTTTTTAATGAAAACTATAGACATTGGAATGATTTATTCTTTATTGCTCGATAATCGTTCAATGTTATTTATTCTTCTCTTTTCACCTAAAATGATTAAGCTTTGCCGGTTGTGACTTTTTACTTGAACATTAGTGGCCTGTTGATCTGACACCAATTCAATCGTATGATGTTAATGAAATATATATATGCCGGCTACTCTCGTACTTAATTTACGTTAGAGGATAACGAAATAAAATAATTCAAATGCATAAATGAATTTTCGATACGTAAATCTCATACAATCGTTATCTCAGATAAACAATGAAATAAAAATGCAGAGTAGCAGATCGCAGAAGATAACTCCAACTCTATTTGACAAAGCATGATTCACAATTTATAGTTACACAAAAACAAGGGGTGATGAACAGGTTAAGCGGTACACACACATGCGCTCATATCAAAACAGGCAAAGTTATGAACGAATAATTGACAAGATCAAAATATAACTCAAGAATAATAAACTAATTGGTCTATCCGGAAGCTAGAATAACCCATGCGGGCTAGATATAGTACTAAACAGTATGGAACCTTCAAGAGTTTTTACGAAACTAGTTCCCAGTTGATATATAACTATTACTAGGAAAGAGATAGAGATTTTGAAGACTTTTCAATGTGTGAATGATATTGTTTATTGATCGTAATAGATTCATGATATCATTAGCGATTTTTGTGGATATTATTAGTAATTTTATTAGTTAAGATCATGAATCTATTAAAGCTAGACAACCATAGAAAACCTGGAAGCACTGGACGGCCGTTTTGTCCTATTGTGGGATTCCTCAGTAGTACGCATCCACGATCTCGCCTTGTGAGATTAGAACCTATCAATCTCGCGCGCGAGCGATTAACCTCACAACTAATAAAATTACTATAATATCTACAAAAACCCCTTCTGATATTATTCAGCATATGGTCTTCAATGACTGGCTTCAACAGGTATTTCCTGGAGTTCTAGTGAGAAGCAGTGATCAGTGGAGTTCAACCGGGTCTGTTGTGAAACAGTAACTCACTGAAGACAATGGTAGATGTGTCGTTCAATTTCGTGGATGCCAGCCAGCTCAGTGGTGTAGAGGTTAAGCGTTCACACGCGAGATTGATGGATCCTGGATTCGAATCTCGAGAGACGGGATCGTGTATGCGTACTGTTGAGGAGTCCCACAGTTGGACGCAACGTCCGTACAATGTTTCTAGGCTTTGCATAGTTCTCCAGCTTCAATCAACTCATGATCTCAACTATTAGAATTCATAATAATCTAAGGAGATTTCAACATAATAATAGCAATCAATTACCATATCGTTTTTGCTTTTTTTTCAGTATAAAAGTGTTCTAATCGACAAAATCAAATCAGATAAATAGGTTTAATGAGAAAAGAAAACATGTAAATCATCATTGTCTCTAGCAGATGTCAAAAAATTTAAACCCATTTATATTAAATGGTACACTTATTAAAATGATACATAATTTTCTTTAAAATGATTAATTTTTCTTTTTTTTTTTGTTTTTTTGTTGTTGCTAAAATGTATCCGAAGAAATGAATAACCGAATGAATATCATGATTTTTATTTTACCGATTAATGTGTTTTTAAAAGGTGTACAATAAGCTGCAGGTTTTCTTCTTTTATTTTCTCTTTTTCTTTTCTCCTTTTTTTCAAAAAAACACATCAACGATTAAAAGAAAACAAAAAAAATGAAAACGAAAAAAAATAATAATTTGGCAGATATTAAAAAAAACTACTAAAACATTCCTTTTTTGCATGAAATGAACTGTAGAATGTTTGTTATAAAAGTTTCTAGGGGAATCATATCATCAATGTGTCTTGGAAACAAACAAAAGACGTTTAATCTAATGAGTGACAGTTAGATTAATAATGATAAAATGTAATTCATTCTATCTTAAGTATTGTCTAGACTATTACAGAATGTAATTTCATTGAGGATAAGTAGAACATAGAGAGAGAGAGAGAGCGAGAGAGGAAGATCTGATATTAATATGTATTTGCCTTAATCTATAAACTTTGACAAACAGCTAATTAAGTATTTCAATTAAGAATAGTTATACAATTATACATGAATAATATTGTATTAAAAGAGGAAGAATGTATTTGTAAAATCTTAGCGAATAAATATGAAGGAAATCCAACGATTTGTCTGACAATCGGGTTCAAGCTTTTTCAAGGAAATATAATCAAACATCGAAATTATTGAATATAAATAGATATATGGTTGTCCAGTCCACTGTATACTGAATAGATCATCCAATCAACGTTACCAATGTTTAAATTAGATATTAGTATTAAAGATGTAAATGCGCCACACAAATCTCATTTGATTTGTGTGATACTACCCAGGTGCCCAAACCGAAACAGGTGGTTTTCTTAGGGGGCCACACCCATAGTCTTTGACCTGAAGGTCTGATCCACAAGGCAGTGGAGCATCGTAAGAAGATGCAGTTCCATGGTAGTCGGTGACCAACAATTGGTTCATATGCCATTTGTTTCCTCAGGATCATGGAGCCCATGTGCACGATTGGTTTGGAATCAGGGTTTTCCAACCCACCTAGGTGGACTCTACGTGTCCACCAATCCGGTCAAAGCGCCAGACGTTCGCTTTTCATTCTCTCAATTTCGTAACCAACACCTCGGCCACGAGAAGACAGTGAATAGGACTTCCTTGGCAGAGGCTATATATGTGTGGCCATGTGAGAGCATTTGAAGAGGGAGAGCGGACTCTTACCACTCTCGGCCGTGTCAGGGCATTTGGGGTTTGTATTAGTGTGTAAAAGACATGTAGTGTGAAACGAAAAGTGTTAAGATAACAAATTGTGTGAATAGGGAAGTGCTGTGAGAAGAAATTTCCTTGAACCAGATTTCCAGGCGAAATGTTAAATTTACTTCAAATTCTAAATTTACTTGCTATCATTTGTTTGAATATTCCATTGATGTTTATGATTGCAATTGATAAGTCTCTTATTGGCATATAAGCATACTATGCGTATTGCCTCGATATAGCCTTAGTCCACAAGCATTGTGAGGAAAGATAGATAGTGGCTAGCAGAGGAATCCAGGACGCGCGTTTCGTCCTATTCAGGACTCGTCAGTTAGATGTACTTGCATCTCAGGATGGTGGTCCAGTACTAGCACTGAGATTGACTGAGGTCTTAGGTACAATCTGGGAACTGGACGTAATTCCATCTGACTGGTCCCAATCACTGATTGTGCCAGTCTATAAGAAAGGACAAAAGTCCACCTGTGACAATCACAGAGGGATCAGTTTGACTAATATAGTGTCTAAAATATTAACTTCAATAATACTAGGTCGCCTAATCAAAGCTCGTGAAGAGCAGACTAGAGAAAACCAGGCTGGTTTTCGACCTGGACGTGGTTGCATAGACCAGATATTCACCCTACGTCAGGTCCTAGAACATAGACACAAATTCAGACGTCCCACAATAGTAGTATTTCTTGACCTTAAGGCGGCATTTGACTCCGTTGATCGTGAGGTTCTATGGCAGTGTTTGTCAGTGAAAGGAGTACCAAAGAAGTACATTAACCTCATAAAGGCTATCTACTCGAACACAACTGGTCGAGTTAGAGCCTATGGCGAACTGTCATCAGAACTGATTACCACAAGTGGCGTTCGTCAGGGCTGTCCACTCTCCCCATTCTTGTTTAACTTTGTCATTGACATACTTTTAGAGATAGCACTTTCATCAGCTAAACCTCCAGGAGTTGAACTTTTACCAGGAGGCTCACTTGTTGACTTAGAATACGCCGACGACACAGTTTTACTCGGGAAGACGCTGACAACATACAGAGTCTTCTGACCACTATAAGCAACTATGCAGGCATGTTCGGGATGCGATTCTCTCCCTCGAAGTGCAAAATGTTACTTCAAGATTGGGTTGCTTAACACCTGAACTAATGATAGGGTGTGAAGTAGTTGAGCGTGTAGACCACTTCAATTATCTTGGGAGTCTCATCAGCCCTTGTGGTCTGGTATGTGACGAAATCTCAGCATGGATACAGAAGGCTCGTCTAGCTTTCGCCAACTTGCGTCATTTATGGTGTAGGCGAGAAATCCGTCTAGCAACCAAAGGACGTGTTTACTGTGCAGCAGTTCGCTCCGTCCTACTTTATGGCAGTGAAACATGGCCAATAAGAGTAGAGGATGTTCGTAGGCTTCTAGTGTTCGATCATAGGTGTCTTCGAAGCATTGCTCGTATATCCTGGGACCAGCGAGTAAGTAATGAAGTTGTTAGGAAATGAGTACTAGATAGGGATGGCAAATCAATTGATGAAGTAGTGAAACTTCATCAGTTGAGATGGCTGGGACATGTGTTACGTATGCCCAACCACCGATTGCCCCGACGTGCAATGTTTCATGGTGTAGGAGTAGGTTGGAAGAAAGCTAGGGGTGGCCAGACCAAAACTTGGCACAAATTTATGAAGTCACTGACAAGTGGACTGGGCCACGTTGGTAGGTGTAGACTACCTGGTTGGGATTCGCGTGATGACATCAACCGATGGTTAGAGACCTTGAATGACATGGCTCAAAATCGTTTGCAATGGCGAAGGTGCATCCACTCTTTGTGTTCTACCAAATTCTAATCTTCTGAATTCCTCATGTCTTTATCCTTTTCTCTTTCCAAATTTATTTCACTGTACTATGCTCCTTCAATAATTTCTTCAAACCCTAATCTTTTGGATTTCTGATTATACTCCTACTACTTCTACCACTATGGGATTTGAATCGACAACTGCATCTCTGTGCTAATGTGGTATGGCAACTCGAACTGATGTACGTACGTACGAAGTTCTACGTTGTGACTGACTGACTGACTTGCATCTCA